TGCGTTGTTGTACAGTGTGCGTTGTTCATTGTACTGTGTGCGTTGTTTGTTGTACTGTGTGCGTTGTTTGTTGTACTGTGTGCGTTGTTTGTTGTACTGTGTGCGTTGTTTGTTGTACTGTGTGCGTTGTTTGTTGTACTGTGTGCGTTGTTTGTTGTACTGTGTGCGTTGTTCGTTGTACTGTGTGCGTTGTTTGTTGTACTGTGTGCGTTGTTTGTTGTACTGTGTGCGTTGTTTGTTGTACTGTGTGCGTTGTTCGTTGTACTGTGTGCGTTGTTTGTTGTACTGTGTGCGTTGTTCGTTGTACTGTGTGCGTTGTTCGTTTTACTGTGTGCGTTGTTCGTTGTACTGTGTGCGTTGTTCGTTGTACTGTGTGCGTTGTTCGTTGTACTGTGGAATAATATATTTGCTGCAATCATCATTTTGGTGTAGTTAATTTTTACTGATTTTAACAATTTTTTAGCAGAATTTTACTTCAGCTGACAAATTTCACTTGTAAAGATAAATTTTAATGAAAAATAGTGAATTCTACTGTATTATGACCTACAAGCTCATGCATCAGAGAGGTAATATTACTGAAAATTGAATTGACGTATCGTAGTCGTAATTTTATTTTTCGTATGAATAGTCAGTTGATTGATCATTTAGTATATTACAATCGATTTAATTTTTCCAATAAATTCTGGACAGCTGTGTATACAGGATAATCTGATAGTTGAACTACAAGCCAATCAACTTTGCAAATGATGACTTTTTGAAATAACCGATTGTCTTGTATATTTTCTTCTCTTTGTTAGTATGACGTGTGGTTCAGGATGGGTTATGCTGCCATGCAAGCTGAAAGATACGACATAGTTGTCAAGGCCTATTATAGATGTGTAATCCTTGATAATGAAGTAGGTGTATTTTTAGTTGACAATATTTAAAGACTCATTTGTCATTCTTTGGGATTACACTATGTCTTCATGGGAGGTATTACTAGTACATTTATATCGGAATGAGCCAGTATCTTAGTTTTTGTATTACAGTATATTGTTATTCATTTGGCAAAAATTATAGTTAACTCTGCTGATCCAGACAAGAGACTTTTAGTGCCAGTTTCTCCTAAATAAAGGGATACAGCCAATCCCTGGGATTGCACCATGGCATTCTGGGACATAATTTTTACTGGAATCATTAATCACTTGTTTCTCCAAATTTTTTTCAAAAATACATGAATATATTAAATCAAAATCTTATCGCATTAAATCATTCCCATTTTCATTTTAGTATTTAAAAACAATGATTCCATCAAAGATGTATCCATCTCCTTCCATATTCAATGCAATAAATCCTGACCTGAAAATAATGCAGTTGTAGCCGACGGCACAAAAGCATGCACTGTGTCTTGAAATTACCTGCTGCGGTACTTTCCTAGTCTACTGATTTTGCTGTACATCTCCATATGTGGTTTTGTGTATACTTTTGAAACTATTAGAGAGTAATGACGTCTAGGGTAGTGCAATTACAGCGATAAATCAAGCAGTGCATGAAATCACCTCTCTTGTTTCTGTCATGCTTTCCCTGCAAATGACGGCTCATTTCAAACAACCGACTACATTTAATTATACTGGGAGAGTATAGAATTGAATTCTATAAAGACTGGTATTAGCTTGTTTTCATCTGTGTCTGTCCCGACATCATTTCATAATTATTGTCTATTCCAATATTGCAATGGTTTTATTTGATTTAGTCACTTCGCTAAATCTCAATGGCTGTTGTATTCAATACTTCATATTACCTACTGCCTCATGCCTGCCTATACACCAGAAATCTCAATTTCTTGGTCAGTGGCTAATATTTGATTGAAATTTGAAAATGTTGCTTTTAGTTGGACCAAGTTTTGAAATTGATTATTAATTAAATATATTTACAGTTTCTTAGTAACTGTTGTATTCTGTAAATACTAAAAAATTGAAAATTGAAAAATTGTTTGTCTCGTCTCTGCCTAGGGTATGACTATAGTCACTGTAATTAAAGTCTTATACTTTAATAGTCCACTATAGAATACATGTAATTTTGGGTTAATGTATTCTCCCATTAGAGGTCAGTTGTACTTTTAATATTGATTTTAATACATTGAAAGAATTAATATGCTAATTAGGGTAGTGTTGTGCTGTTTATTTCAAACTATAAATGATGATTTGATATTAGTGAGAAGATTCATAAATTTACAATTAAGCTCATTAATTAGTTCCTGGAGTTTATTGTATTTTTTTTCTAAATTTTATGCTGACAATAAGATGATTCATCAATAAATTAGCATTGCATCTGATAAACACTTTTACTAGATATGTATAAATACAGTTTATTTTTTGCAAAATAGGAATTTGCTGGATTAAAATAAAATTACCATTGCACTTATATCACTAAGGTATAATCACTAGTACTGATGTAAATCTGAAGTGCTACATACCCTTTTGTAATGTGTCTTACCAATCATAGTATAAGCTTATTAACAAAATACAAGAATTTCCGTCAAACAGGTTGCATTCAGATAATAACAAAGCATACACTGTACGGGGACAGATTGCATATAACATAATTTCACTGATTTGTGATTAAAACTACATTCAAAATACGTATTATTACGAAATTTTAGTTTTCCATCTGGTAAATTTTCAAAAGAAACTGATGATTAAGAAATAACAATATTCCTACATTTCTTTTTAAATTTATATTTTTAATGATAAATGAACTTGAAAAATGTTTGCAGTAAATAAATGTCAAATGAATCCACAAAATTCATAAATTTCTGTTGATTATTCTTATTTGAAAATTAAAAAAATGTACATACAGGTAATAAAATTTGATCAATCAGAATAGATATTAATTTACAAAATTAATTAGCTTTATGTTAATAGTAATTGGTAAGATTGGATTTCCTACAACATACTAATAGTTTATTACCGTTGATATCAACTGAGAGTTCCCTTTTTTTTCAACTAAATACCAAAACGCGCATCTCTTATCAGATGATTTGATACGCACTCTTAAAAACAGTTTTGCCCCGAGGCCAATGATTGAGTTTCCTGTGCCGCATACTGTTCTATAGAGTAACTAGAAAGACAACAAATTTGTATAATTCATTGCTTATTAGATACCCAGTTTGAGTTCTTTTAAGTTTAATCAGTGAGTGTTTCATAGCGAGGCCTGCAGGCAGAAAGACATTCATGTTTGACATGACATGCTACACTGATATATTTGAACCTTTGTGAGTGCGTAATGGCAGCTGTATGTCGTATATTTGTTCGATTACTGACGTCGTATTTCCATGCTGTTCGTCAGATATTTGTTCAAATTACTGAAGTCGTACGTCACCCCGTATGTGTCAGATATTTCTTCGAATATTTGTTATCATCAAATATATTCCATGAAATATCCAATTTTTACTTTTATTTTTTATTTGTCTAAAAAAAATCCTTGGGGTTAATGACGAAAACTAATATCAAATGCTTTTGGTTTTTGGCTGGTGGGATTGTTAGTGCTTTTGACATTCAGTCCTTTGACATCACGTTCACTTCAGTGAACATTCTACGACTAATTAGCGTTCTGCACTGTCATTGAAATGTTCCATGTTTTACTACAGTCAGTAGAAGATGATAGTCATGATATCGGGCTGCTGCAAAATATACGATTAAATAACAATTTAATTGCTTACTGCATATTATGTAATATGTAAAATTGCATGATTCAACTACAATCTTCTACTAGGACTGAATCACAAACCCCATTTTGTGAAAGATAACACATCTCTAAGCATACTTAGCAGTGGAGTGGAGATATTCATATAAGTGAATGCCTGTCAAATTTTAATATAAATGACTTGAAAATACCATCTTGATTACTTTAATAGTATGTGCAAACCTTAGATGGACCTCTATCAGATCTTGTGATGATAGCTTCTAGTTTTAGTTTTTTTCTGATAAAAAATGATATTATTGCATTCTTCAAAAAATTTACCAGCCTAATTGCATTGATACTTGGATCTCTGTTGGATTTGTAACTCGGTGAGAAAAATTGCCATGGCAACAACCAAATAAACTGTCACAGTTGTGATATAGCAAGAATATTGTGATAACAATGGCTATTAACCTTTATCCAATATCTAATCGTACAGAACATTAATTCTGTTTTGAGGAAAACAATCTAATAAGACAGGAGGTATTTTAACTGTAAGGTCGTTTGTAACTTTATTCAGGGGTAGACAATATTAAATAAGCGGTGAGTGGAAAGAACGATAATATAATTTGTATATACTTACTATGAATTATATTTGCTTTGATTTTATTTGTCAACAACTGAATATGTGCAAGTCCTTTCTTTCCGGGAAAGACAATCCTCCCTAATTCTCCCTAATTCAGTCTTCCACATCACCATGTTTCCAATAAATCCTTCCTATAGCATCCCGGCAGGAATTCAGTCTTCCACATCACCATGTTTCCAATAAATCCTCCCTATAGCATCCCTACAGGAATTCAGTCTTCCACATCATGTTTCCAATAAATCCTCCCTATAAGCATCCCTACAGGAATTCAGTCTTCCACATCACCATGTTTCCAATGAATCATCCCTATAGTATCCCTACAGGAATTCAGTCTTCCACATCACCATGTTTCCAATAAATCATCCCTATAGCATCCCTGCAGGAA